ACAGAAAGAGAGTATCATTCTACTACACCCGCTGATGACTTCAAGTCGTCAATGACCATCGCTGGGAACATCACAGATGCACCAGACGTTAGGCACACACCTTTAATGAGTTAGTCTTAATGAAATAACAATAGAAATTAAGATAAATAGAAAGAACAATGGTGACTATTGAGGCTGAATCAGGTCGAGGCTTTTAGATCTACAAAGAAGCGTCGGGGGGATGTGTGAGATGACACCGTAGGGATGCAGTTAGCAAAATCCAAGCTGAAGAAACCCCCACGAGGCAAACGGCAAAGTACAAGAGGAGAGAGGAAGGGAGAGAGACCCTTTGGATTAGGAGATTTAATCTCAATATGAACCAATTGCCATGCAAGGAGCATGTTTTGAAATAATTGTTAATCGTTTTAGGTGTGACAATGGTTTGTGGTTATGTTTAAAAGTCCCCATCTTTTAGAGTTACATGTTGAAATATTTGCAGATGGTGCAGTAGGATGTTTCAGATTTATTTCCAAATAAAGAGTGGTGGGTTGGGTGCGGGGAGAGAGGTGTTGATACAACAATGTCACCTGTGAGTTGATTATTATCGAAGCCACTGTTGGGGACATGGGGCTTCACTAAACTGTTCTCTCTACTTTTGTAGATGTGTGAAATTTTTTGTAGTAAGATTAAAAAAAACATTTCAAGGAAGTGCAAAGTTATTATTTCATGGGTATGAAGTTTCCGTTTTGTAAGACGAAATGGTTTTGGAGACAGTTGGTGGTGATGGTCACACAGTAATAAGTGTCCTTAATGCCACAGAAATGCATACTTCTAATGGTTAAAATGGTGAATTTTATGTTATGTATATTTTATCCCAATTAAAAAGTAAAAAGTGTAAAAAAGGCTCTCTATCAGATACATGGTTAAAAGAGAACAACACTGAAGGCTGAAAATAAAGAAATGGAAAATACACACATGTGCTAGAAAATACTAACAAAGATATCACATAACGTCGAAAAGATATAAATCAAAGCAAAATGCATCAAATGAACAAAGGAAGATGTAACGAACAAGAGTTACCATCCACAAAGACAGTTCAGCAGTCACAAACCTTTATGTACCGAACTTCAAAATACATAAAACAAAGACTGACAAATATATGAGCAAACCAACACAGCCCCAAACGGCAAATATCTTTAACACATCTCTCTCAGAAATAAACACATCAGGCCAGTCACGGTGGCTCACACCTGCAATCCCAGCACTTTGGGAGGCTGAGGTGGGTGGATCACCTCAGGTCAGGAGTTCAAGACCAGCCTGGCCAACATGGTGAAACCCTGTCTCTACTAAAAATACAAAAATTAGCTGGGCATGGTGGTGGG